TGGTCCGCGAGTGCGGCGACGCGCGCGACGCGGGCCTCGCGGCCTACGACGCCGCCATGGCGTCCGACGACGCCGTGCGCAGCGCCGAGAAGCTCCACCGCGCCCCGCGGCGGCGCTCAAGGCCGCGACGTCGACGTTCAAGGCGCGCGCGGGCGGCGACCAGGCCGCGGGGTACCGGGAGGAGATGGAGGACGAGATCCTCGTGCGCTTCGGCGCGCTCGCCGAGGCGAACGAGGCGCGGTCCAAGGCCTTCTGCGAGGCGAAGCTCGCGGAGCTCCACGGGTCCATCGTCGCGCCGAAGATGGACGGCAACGGCGACCAGGCGCTCCTCTACAGCGACGTCGCGTCGCTCAAGTTCGACGTCGCCACGGTCGCGTCCAAGTACGGCGCCCAGGCGTCCGGCCCGGCGCGCGACGGCGTGCTCGCGGCCTACGCGCTCGGCGACGCCATGGACGCGACGACGTGGCTCTTCGAGCGCGTCGACGACGCGCACGAGGCCAAGCTCCAGGCCGTGGAGTCGCAGCTCTCCGAGGCCGCGGGCGAGCTCGCCAAGGTCGAGGCGCGGGAGAAGGTCATCCAGGACACGCTCGAGCAGCAGCAGCGCGAGCTCATCGCCGTGTCGACGGCGAAGATGCAGGTCGAGGCGCAGGTGAAGGCGACCGAGGCGCGCGTCACGTCGCTGCTCACGGAGCTCCAGCGGTCGAACCGGAAGAAGGAGGAGCTCGAGCAGGATCTCGAGGACACGAAGGACGCCCTCGAGGCGGAGCAGACCTGGCAGGCCCAGCTCCACTCGCGCCTCGAGGACATGGAGACGAAGAGCTCGCACAAGGAGTCGAAGCTCGACGAGCTCGGCAAGCTGCTGGAAACGCACCAGGAGGACGCCGCGTCCAAGGGCGAGGCCCTCGAGGAGCAGCGCCAGCGCGAGAAGGACCTCAGCGCCCAGATCGGCGCCTGGGAGACGAAGCACGCGGCCATCGCCAAGGCGCACGAGTCCGCCAAGGACGAGGCCGCGAAGCTCGCGCGCGACCACGAGCTCCTCGCCGGGGAGCACGCCCAGGAGAAGGCCAAGGGCCGCGAGCTCGCGGAGAAGAAGGACGCCCTCAACGCGGACCTGGCGACCATGCGCGAGAAGGCCGCGGTCCTCGAGGCGCGGCTCGCGGAGACGACGTCGGAAGCGGGCGCGTCCGCGCGCGAGCTCGAGCAGCACGTCGAGGACAAGTCCAAGGCTTTGGCGGCGTCGGTGGAGCGCCACGAGCAGACCATCGCCGAGCTCGCGGAGACGACGGAGGGCCTTTTAGCGAAGGAGCAGGAGCTCGAGGAGAAGCACGCGAAGCTCGAGTCGACGCAGGCGGAGCTCGACGGCGCGAACGCGACGCATGCGGAGCTGTTGCGCGCCCACGCGGCCCTGGGCACGGAGCACAAGGGCTTCCAGCAGAAGATGAACCAGCGCATCACCTACCTCAAGTCGCAGCTCGACGAGCACCAGTCGACGACGTCGTCGACGTCGTCGGAGCTCCAGCGCAAGGCCGTGCGCGAGTCGGAGCTCGAGAAGCGCCTCGAGGTCGAGATCGGCCTGCGGGCGACGATGCAGTCGGAGAAGGACGCGCTCGTGTTTGATTTGCAGAAGAAGCTCGCGGAGGCGACGACGCGGCTCCGGCAGACGGAGACGAAGAACGCGTCGTTGAAGTCGTCCTTGGAGTCGTCGGCGTCGGAGCTCAACGCCATCGCCGCCCAGCGCGCCGTGCTTTTGGACGAGAAGGAGAAGATGCAGGCGCTCTGGGAGAAGTCGCTCACGGACCACTTCAACAATTTACACAGCACGCAGTCGGCGCTCGACGACCACAAGAAGCAGGCCGCGGTCGGCGGCGCGGCCGCGGGCAAGAAGATGGAGGACATGGAGAACCAGCTCGACGAGTACCGCAAGCTCGTGGAGCAGGTGCAGACGAAGAAGGAGGGCCTCCTGCGGAAGCGGACGCGGTCCCGCCTCGTGAAGCAGACGTGGCACGTCAAGCTCTTCAAGCTCGTCGGCAACGCGCTGCTCCACCGCGACACGGACAACAGCGCGTCCGGCGAGAAGAGCCACGAGCTCGACGCCGACACGACCGTCGAGCCCATCACGGAGGCCAACGGCGGCGGCGGCCGCGTCATGCGCAACTCGTTCAAGGTCTCGAACGGCCGCGACGACGACCTCATGCTCGCGGCCATCGACCGCGTCGACATGGCCGAGTGGATCGACGCCATCCAGCAGACCATCGACGACATGGCCAGCACCGCGAAGAAGACGGCCTCCCAGAAGGCCGCCTTCGACGAGCAGGGCGACGACGCGTAGTCCGCCGCGCCGGGCGCCCCTCTTTGTCCCGTTTACAAAACGACCCCGCCTCTCTATTTTAGGGCCCGGGGGAGTTACTTGCCGCAACAGGCCTTGTACTTCCGGCCGGAGCCGCACGGACACGGGTCGTTGCGGCGCGCCGGGGGCTTCTGGCGAAGCGGCGGAAGGTCCGCGGCCTTGTTGGGGTCGGGTCCGGCTGCCAGGCGGCAGGCGCCACCGATGCACTGGCGGCACCAGTTACATGTGGGTCGGAGCGCGACAATATCCGTCATGAGCACTATCGCCTCACCGCGCGAGACTTCGTAGTCGGCGAGCGTCCCGACCCCTGGTCCGAAGAAGCCTTCGCCCATCTTCATCTCTTGGACACGATCTGTGCCTGGCACGCGAGCCATGAGCTTCTGATCATCAAGAGACAGATTGAATTTTCGCCGGATCTTCTTCTTCACGTCGTCGACCGTGTCATCGCGGCGCACGACGAGCGGGAAATACACAACCGCCCTATCTCGAGGGCACGTCCACGAGACGGGGGCGATCCAGGTCGACTGACCGCGGTACCGCCGCGCGACGCCGTGTTTCCCGCAAAGTAGCTTGTGCGTCGGCCAGTCGAGTTTCTGGCACGCTCGAGAACAGTAAAACGCCGCGTGGCAGCACTCGCACATTTTCGTCGCGACGGCCAGTTCTTTTATTGCTCGATCCTCTTGTGAATAAGCGCAGCCTCGTTCGCAGACCCGAGCGTTCAATTCCTTCAGAGTTGCGAGCTCATCGAAATCTTCCGGTAGTTGTAAGTCCTTCATATGAAGAATTGGTGATTCAAAGTGCTCTTGTTCGGGATCGCTACTTGGGAAACGGCGAAACATGCCTTCATTGAAACGACCCTGGAACATCTGAACGAGTTTATGCGGGGCGGCGTGACGCGCGTGAACCGCACGCCGGCGCTTGTGCTTACTGCCACAAACGGCAAGGCGACCGACTCGAGCAAGCGACCCGATGCCTGCGCAGCTGCGCACGACCCTCGCCTCGGAGGCTCCTCGATAGGCCTCTCGATCGAGTCGGGAGCGTCCGCCAGACATGGTTATGGCGGCCGGTTCCGGTCGTTGCGGCTCCAGACCCGGGGGCGCCGCTTCGCGAGGCGCTCGCCCGTCGTGAGGTTGACGACGGCCGCGCAGCCGTCCCGCGCGCACGCGAGCGGCGCGGCCGCGTCCGCGCGCGGCATGGAGCAGCCGCAGGCCCGCGACCGGAGCCCCGCGTCGGTCTCCGGCGGGAAGGAGAGGCTGCAGGTCTGGCAGGCCCTGCCGGCGACCATGCGGCTCAGGCGGCCCTCGACCGCGAGCGGCCGCCAGTCGAGCTTTCCCCGGAACAAGCCCCACGTGTAGAAGCCCTCGGGCGTGCCCTTGGCCACGGACTTGTCGAGGGGCACGACCTGCCGGTGCACGGGGTGGCGCACGTCGCTCGAGAACCAGGCTTTGCGGTCCTCGTCGACCATGGCCACGAAGTACGCGGGCGCCGCGGCGACGACGGCGACCTGGTCGTCGACGGAGACCCGCAGGACCCCAAAGGGCGTCCGCGCGTTCACGTTGATCGTCGCGCGGCAGGGGTCCCACCAGCCCGTCGACAGGTGCGCCGCCGTCAGCCGCCAGCCGCCGAGGGCCGCCCAGGGGCCGCACGTCGTCGCGGCGGTAAAGATGCGGCCGTAGACCGCGCGGTCGCCGTCGAAGGGCCAGCCGCCCCGGAACAGCGGCGCGAAATAGACAAAGTCGGGCCGCAGCTGCGCGTACCAGTCGGCGCCCGGCCCGGGCCCGCGGACGTAGCAGTCGCGGCGATGGTAGAATTGCGCCTGCTGGTACTTGTCTCTGCCGACGGGTTCCGCGCCGAAGACGTCGACGCGCCGGAGCGTCGCGTTGTGCGCCAGCGCCGCGGCGACGCCGGCGCGCCAGGCCGCGTCCGTGCCCGACGTGCAGAGGAAGACGTCGAGCGCCGCCACGCTGGCCATGGGCAGGAAAACGTGCGCGGCGACGCTGGACCAGGCGCGCTCGTCGCAGACGTGCGCGTCGTCGTCGCAGTGGCCCGTGACCAACGCCGCGATGCGCAGCGACGCGCTCGCGCAGCCGGCGAGCAGCGACGCGGCTAGGACGAGGCAGACCCGGCCTCGAGCCATCGTGTCACAGCGTCAAGAGTTCGTCAAGGTCAGCCTGAGACTCGCTGTGCCGATCGATGTGCTCTCCGTAAGGCAGGGTCGTGCAGGGTCGTCATGGCCGGCTCTTCGCTACCGCCAAACGCGATGAACATGATCAAAGGCTTCGTGGGCGACGCACCTGCACCCGCGCCGCCGCCGCCGGCGACGTCGCTGCCGCCCAAAGCCATGGACATGATCAAAGGCTTTTTGCCGCCCGCCGCGCCGGCGCCGGCGCCGGCGCCGGCGCCGAAGACGTCGCGGAACGTGCTGCGGCACCGGCAGGCCCGAGCGCAACCGCCGTCGCCGCCGCCCGACGCGGCGGCGCTGCTCGCGGCCTTCGCCGCGGAGCCGGCGCCCGCCGCGCCGCCGCCGCCGCGCGACGGCCTGCCCGAGGTCGAGCCCCTCGGCGCCGCGGCGGTCTTCGCGCTGCTGCGGCCCGACGGCCCGCGGCACGCGGTGCTGGACGGCTTCCTCGGCGGCGCGCGCGCGACGCGCGCGGCCGCGGCCGCGGCGAGGCTCCGGGACGGCGGCGCGCTCGCGGCCGCGCGCGTCGGCCAGGGCGCCGCGCGGCGGAGCGACGGCGGCGCGCGGAGCGACGACATCACGTTCTTCGAGGACCTCGAGCCCGGCGCCGACGCGGACCTCGCGGCCGTGTGCCGAGAGCTGCGGAAGCTCCGATCGTCGCTGGCGCGCGGCGGCTGCTGGGAGGCCCGGGCCGCCGGCGTCCTCGACCTCGACGCGACGCGCACGTCCACGCAGATCGCGGCCTACGCCGTCGACGGCCGCTACGCGCGCCACGCCGACGCGCCGCCGGACGACCGCGCGCGCGCGCGCGGCGCGACGACGACGCGCCGCGTGACGTGCGTCTACTACCTCAACGAGCGCTGGACGCCGGCCGACGGCGGCGCGCTGCGCATCCACGCCGGCGACTGGACGGGCGACGGCGCGGGGTTCGTCGACATCCTGCCGAAGCTCGACCGCCTCGTGCTCTTCCGGAGCGACGTCGACCACGAGGTCCTGCCCTGTTTCCGGCCGCGCCTCGCGCTGACGCAGTGGTGGTACGGCGCGCTGGACCCGGCGCCGCGCGCGCCGCCGCGCCTGTCCGTCGCGCCGCCCCTGGTGACGACGTCGCCGAGCGGCGGCGAGCGCATCTTCGTGTCCGTCGCGAGCTATCGCGACCCGGAGACGGAGAAGACGCTCGCGCACCTCTTCGCCACGGCCGAGGACCCGCGGCGCGTCCGCGTCGCGCTCGTCTCCCAGTACGACGCCCTCGCCGGCGCCGACGACGCCTTCCTCGGCCCGCTCTACAACGGCGACTTCGAGAAGCTGGTCACGCGGGTGCGCGTCGACTTTCGGGACGCGGCGGGGCCCTGCCCGGCGCGCGCGGTCGCGCAGGCGCACCACCGGGGCGAGCCCTACGTGCTGCAGATCGACTCCCACATGCGCTTCCGCTTCCACTGGGACAGCTACCTCGTCGAGACGCTGCAATCGCTGAAGAGCGACAAGGCGATCCTCACGGCGTACCCCGTCGGCTACGAGGTGAGCCCGGCGGAGGCGCTCCCGGCGGAGACGCGGCCGACGCTCCTCTGCCCCGCGAGCTTCGGGCCCGACGGCATGCTCCGCATCGCGGGGCGTCTGTTGCGCGCGGCGCCGGCGGCGCCCGTGCCGTCGCCGCTCTGGTGCGCGGGCTTCGCCTTCTCCACGGCCGCGGCGCTGCGCGACGCGCCCTACGACGGGTCGCTCCGCCACCTCTTCTTCGGCGAGGAGCTGCTCATGGCCGCGAGGCTCTGGACGCGCGGCTTCGACTTTTTCGCGCCTCCGCAGAACGTCGTCTACCACCTCTGGTCGCGCGCGGGGCGCCGCACGGTCGACGACGACGCGGCGTCGGCGCCGCGGGCGGCGGACCGCGCGGCGGCGCTCGCGCGGGTCGAGGCCGCGCTCGACGGGACGGACGCGGCGGGCCTCGGGTCGTCGCGGCCGCTCGCGGCCTTTTTCCGACGGGTCGGCGTCGACTTCGCGGGGAAGCGCCTGCTCCCGGGCGCCGAACACGGCGGCCTGCCGCCGGCGAGCTTCGCCGTCGGCGCCAAGGTCGTCGAGGACCTCGCCGCGCTCGCCGCGCCGCGGGCGGAGGCGGAGGCGCCCGCGGACCACGACGTCCCCGACCTCGGCGACGAGGACGAGGACCCCGACGCGCTCGCCGCGCTCGTCGACGTCGACTAAGTTCAGCTGGGAGGTTTACTCAAAACCCGGGGGGAGGGGGCCGCGCTCACGAGTAGGACCGGAGGCCCGAGCCCGCGTGGGAGCCGCCGATCTCGGACACGTTCGAGTCGCCGCCGGCGAAGCGGCCGACCATGTCCTTGGCAGAGGAGAAGATGCCCATGGCCGCGGCGCCCGCGCGCGCGCCGAGGCCCTCGTCGTCGTCGCCGCCGCCGACGTTGTTGTCGAAGGCCGGGTTGCCGAAGCCGCGGTACTTGCCCGGGTTGTCGAACTTGGACGAGGAGAAGCCGCCGGACCCGCCCGAGGGCCCGTAGCCCGCGGAGGACACGGAGTCGGAGCCGATGCCCTGCCACTTGGAGTTCGTCGAGCCGCCCATGCCGCCGCGGCTGTAGCTCGAGGAGAAGCTTTCCGGGTTCCGCGAGTCCGCGCGCGCCTGGAGCTCGCGCCGCTGGCGCTCCTTGGCCTCCTTCTTCTTCTTCTTCTCCTGCTTCTTCGCCTCCTTCTTCGCCTTCTTCTCCTCCTTGGAGGCCTTCTTCTTCTTCTTCTCGTCGTCGGCGGCCGGCGCCGCGGGGCCCGGCGCGGCCGCGGCCGGCGCGTTCTCCTCGTCGCCGTCGTCGTCGTCCTCCTCCTCCTCGGACGTCTCGTCGTCGTCGCCGCCGCCGAAGAGCGCGAAGGTCGACGCCGCGGGCGCCGCCGCGGGCGTCGCCGCGGGCGCCGGCGCCGCCGGCGCCGCGCCGCCGAAGAGGCCGCCCGCGCCGAAGGGGTCCGGGTTCGAGACGGGCGCCGCGAGGGGCGCCGCGGGCGCGATCGGCGCCGCGGGCGCCGCCGGCGGCGCCGCGCCGAGGCCGAAGGGGTCGCCGCCGAAGACGTCGACGGGCGCGGCGGCCGGCGGCGGCGCCGCGGGCGCGGCCGGCGGCGGCGGCGGCGCGGCGGGCGCCGCCGGCGGCGGCGCGGGCTCGGCCGCGGGCGGCGCGACGGCCTGGGCGAAGAGCGCGCCGAAGGGGTCCTGCGGCTTCGCGGGCGACGGCGCGTGCGTCGACGGGATCGGCGACGGCGGGAACTGCGGCCGCGGCGGCGGCGCGGCCATCATGCGCGGCGCCGCGGCCATGGGCTGCTGCGGCGGCATGGGCTGCGGCCGCCCCGCGGCCTGCGCGCCCGCCGCGTAGGCCATCTGCGCCTGCTGCTGGCGCAGCACGGCGTGGAGCGCCTGGAGCTGCTGCTGCGCCGACGAGAGCTGCTGGCGCAGCTGCGAGTTCTCCGTGCGCAGGCGGATGAGCTCCGACTCCTGCATGCGGTTCTTCTCCTGCTCCAGGGAGAGCGCCGACATGGCGGAGACGGCGCGGCGCGAGATCACGGGACGAGCGAAGCACACGTCGACCTCGATCACTGTTTCGGCAAGGCCATCAAGGCCGCAGCAAGGCCTGCACTGCAGACCTTACCCCGCCGCCGATCGCGACGTCGACCGCTGACGCGCTGTGCGCGCGGACAGGTCCCGCACGACCAGCGATAGACACAAAACACACCAGCTACGTCACGCCGTACTTCGCGAAGGCCCGGTCCTCCGCGGGGAGGTCCGGGTGCCAGAAGTCGAGGATGAGCACGACGCGCGGCGCGGCGCCGGCGTGGACGACCTCGTGCTCGAAGGAGTCGTCGAGGACGAGGGCCTCGCCGGGTACCCAGGACACGGGGGCGCGGTCGCCGACGCGGATGGACGCGCCGCCGCCGTGGCTCACCGCGAGGTGCGCCCGGAGCCGCGCGTTCGAGGGCCCGCAGTGCGGCAGGATCCGCGAGCCCGGGTGCAGGATGGACACCTTGGCGTTGAAGAAGGACGGCCCGCGGCCGTCGTCGGCGTCGCGGATCGCCGCCAGCGTCCGCGGGAAGCGCGCCGCCGCCGCCGCGTCGTCGACGTCGTGCTTGAAGAGCACGATCTCGTCCCAGCGCGCGCGCGCGCCGTCGACGAGCCCCTCGGCCTGGGCCACGACCAACGAGTCGGCCCGGTCCCGCGCGAGCTCGGCGACGAGCTCGGGCAGGAGCGCGGCGAGCACGGCGCCGCCCGCGACCGCGCGCACGGCGGGGAACTCGTCCAAATCGTCCCAAAGTGGCCGCGCCTCGAGGCCCGCGACGAGCGTCGACGGCCGCTGGAGCGCCGACGGCCACAAGTGCAGCACCTCGACGCCGCGCCGCAGCACGCGCGCCGCGCTCGCCCGCTGGCCCGTGGCCGTTAAAGCGCACGCGAGGTGGTCGATGGCCGCGGCGTTGCCGGGCAGGAGCCGCGCGACGGCCGCGTAGTGCGCGACGCGCTCCTCCGGCGCGAGTTTCGCCTTCTCCCGGTTGTAGCGCCGCAGGAACGGCGAGTGCGCGTCCCGCGACGCGATCGCGGCCTCGAGGAACCCGACGAGCTCCGCCGACGCGTTCCCGCGCGGCGCGCCGCGCGCAAAGGACGCGTTACCCGCGCAGCCGGCGAGGTAGGCGTCGGAGATGGCGAGGCGCGCCGAGGCCGCGGCCCAGTCGGCCTGGAGGAGCGGCTGCACGTGCTTCACGAGCTGCCAGACGCAGGCGTCCCGCGGGCCGCAGAAAGACCGGATGATCTCGCAGGGATCGCTGCCGTCGCGCAGCACGAGCGGTTGGGACGTGTCGCCGACGAGCACCTCGACCTCGAGCACGGGATTGTTGGCGCGTGCGAATAATATTAGCGCGACGGCTGTGACGATCAGGCGCTGGGCCGCCATCGCACAGGGCAGCCCCCTTCAAGGACCACGGCAAGCTTGCGGTTGAAGCGCGAAGAAGGCGAGGCATGGGCTCATTTCGGCGCCAGTTTTCAATGGCTAGTTCATCTCGCCTCTGGCTGGCCTGCGCGGCGGCCCTCGCCGCCACCCACGCCTTCATGGCCCCCACAACCCACACCGCAGCACCCCCGCGCCGGGCGGAGCGCACGGTCGTGCAGGGCATCCCCAAGATGTTCCGCTGGCTGACGGACCAGTACCCGTCGATCATGGAGCGCATCAGCGACGGCCTCCCCGCCCAGGGCGAGCGGGGCGCCGTCGTCGACAACCTCTACCTGGACATGAACGGCATCATCCACATGTGCACGCACTCCAACGACGCCGAGCTCGTGGTCATGTCCGAGCGCGAGCAGTTCGTGCGGATCTTCACGTTCACGGACAAGATCTGCAAGATCGTGCGGCCGTCGACCTGCGTCTACCTCGCCGTCGACGGCGTCGCGCCCCGCGCGAAGATGAACCAGCAGCGGTCGCGGCGCTTCCGGAGTTCCTTGGAGCGCGAGGAGCTGATGAAGGAGCTGCTGGCGGCCGGCGAGGACGTGCCGTCGGACGCGGACGCGTTCGACTCCAACTGCATCACGCCGGGCACGGAGTTCATGTACAAGCTCGGCGTCGCCTTCCGCGCCTGGCTCACGCACAAGTGCGCCACGGACCCCTTCTACGGCGGCGACGGCGCGCCCCGGATCTTCTTCTCGGGGCCGGACCTCCCGGGCGAGGGCGAGCACAAGGTCATGGACTACATCCGCGAGTGCCAGGCGGGCGACGAGGCCTGGGCGGGCAAGGACCTGAAGCACTGCTTCTACGGGTTGGACGCGGACCTCATCATGCTGAGTCTCGTGACGCACGAGCCGAACTTCCGGCTGCTCCGCGAGAAGATGTCCGTGCGCCACGCGCGCAAGGGCAAGAAGCCCAAGGACCCCCTGGACTACGGGCGCTACGACTTCGAGCTGCTCGAGGTCGGGCTGCTGCGGGAGATGCTCCAGCTCCAGTTCCGGCCCGACCCGACGGCGGAGCTCGCCGCGAAGTCCTACGACTTGGAGCGCATCGTCGACGACTTCGTCTTCATCTGCATGCTCGTGGGCAACGACTTCCTGCCGAACATGCCCCACCTCGAGATCGTCGACGGGTCGTTGGACCTCATGATGGCGAGCTATAGGGAACTGCTGCCGGTGATGCAGGGCTACGTGACGGACAAGGAGAAGCTCCACCTGCCGCGCCTCGAGCTGTTGCTGCGGAGTCTGGCGGCCTACGAGCCGACCTACTTCGCGCGGCGCGGCGCGCTGGAGAAGGTGCCGGAGTACGAGGACCCGAAATTGTACGCGGACCACTACTACTACGAGAAGTTCGGCCTCATGCCCGGCGACGTGGACGCGCGGAAGCAGCTCGCGGCGGACTACGTGCTGGGCCTCTTCTGGTGCGTCCAGTACTACCACCGGGGCGTCGCGTCCTGGGACTGGTACTACCCGCACCTCTACGCGCCGCTCGCGTCCGACCTCGTCGACCTGCCGGAGCTGCCCCTCGAGTTCCCGACGACGGGCTCGCGGCCCTTCACGCCCCTCATGCAGCTCATGTCCGTGCTCCCGGCGCAGTCGAGCCGCCTCCTGCCGCGGCCCTACGCGGACCTGATGACGGACACCAACTCGCCGCTCGCGGACGCGTACCCGGCGACGTTCGACGTGGACCAGAACGGCAAGGCCGCGCCCTGGGAGGCCGTGGTGTTGATCCCCTTCATCGACGAGGACGCCATGGTCGCCGAGCTCAGCGCCATCGACCACAACGCGGAGCTCACGCCGCGCGAGCGCGCGCGGAACGACGTCGGCGCCGCGTCGCTCTGGACGTCCGCGGACGTGCCCAACGTCAAGGCCACGAAGGAGGGCAAGGCCCAGGCCGCGCGATAGAGGGATCGGGGGCGCTTGTTCATTATATCGACGTTCGCAATATGAGGGCATTTTAAATAGCTCAAGGGTCCCCGCGTAGCACGGCGGCGAGTTCGCTGATGAGGGCCTCAGATTCGCGTATTTTTGCGCGACTCGTGAAGTTCGGCAGTACTCGATCGTCGTTGTGGCCGTGGACGTCCCGGATGCGCAGATGTCTCGCTCGTTTCGCCGCGGGCGCCGCATCGTCCGCCTCGGGCGCCTCGAGGGCCCTCTCGATCTTCGCCAAGAAATCATCAACTTCGACGGTGTAAGAGTCATTCGGGCCGTACAACCGCTGAGAGCGTTCGGACGAGAGGCGCATGAGCGCTGCAGCTTCAGCTAAATCCTCGCGCGGTGCCTCTCCATCGCGAAAGAGACTGAACGCAAGACTGTAGCGCAGTCCAGACGTGACAGCCGAGTCGCGCTCAAGCTCGCGGTCAGCGAGGGGGTACGCATTTTGTAGAAGTTCCCGACATGAGGCGAATAAGCCGCACGCTCGCAGACGGTAAGAGAGTCTGTTGGCCGTTTCGAGCGTAGAAATGTGCGCCGGCCCCTTCAATTCATTGTAGCGGTCGTAGACGTCCTGGCAGACGGAGAGCGCCTCGTCCTTTCGCCAGAGCTTGTGGTAAGCTTCAGACAGGGTCAAAAGTCCTTCGAGCATGAGGGTCTCCCGGTCAGGGAAGTGCTCGGCCAGCGTATCGATGTGCGCCTTGACGACGACAAGGCCCACGTGCATGTTACCGAGCGAGATCTTTGAATCCAGGAGTGGCGTCGTCAATGTTTCCATCGCCCAAAGTCGGCGCCAATCGTCTTCAGGTTCGCTCGCATACGTACGCCAGCTTTCCCAGGCGAGCGCGAGATCGAGGTATCCGCGGTACGATTGATTGCAGTTCGGGCAATATGACCACAAGTTTGAGTGCTTATTGACAGTGTCGTCATTCCGCGCCATCTCCGCCAGGCACGACAGGTGCGCGTGCCCCGACGTGCCGCGGCACCCGCAGTTCCGGACGAGGGGTTCCGACTCGCCGCCGTCGAGACAGATGTAGCACGTCGCGTCTTGCGCCTCCGCCCCGTGTTCGCGCTGGGCGACCAATGCCTCCTCGCGCGCCTCGGTGTCCGCGAAGTGTTGTTCAAGGCCCACGCGAGAGACTTCCGCACAGATAGAGCGGTGACATTTCAGGTCCTCCGATCGGCATTCGGCGCTACAGTAATTCACCGCACACTTCCGGCACTTGACGACCTCGTCGTCATCGTAAAAAAAGGTTAAGCAGCGCGCGCAAGTAGGGGCGATGATGGTTCGCGTCATCGCGTCACGAAAGCACGAGCCGTACGCACTCGCTGCGACCCGTCGAGATCACTTCACGGCTCCGTCGCCCTCACCGTGCGACCGATTTGCAGTGTTGCCCCGACTGGGCAGCCGATGGGCCGAAAGATGGAAGCCTGGCCCGAGGCTGCCTCGTTCATCGAGACGTGGAGACGGCGTCGGCGCTGACGATGCATACGTCGACGCCGCCCCCGACGCCGCCGCCGGGCTCGCCACCACGGTCGCCGGGCGAGCTGCGCTTCCATGTGGGCGAATCGGAGGTCACGACGGCGCACGGCGAGCTGCTCCCGCGCCTCGCCGACGAACCGGCGGCGGGCCGCGACGCGGGCCTCGGACGGAAGCCCGAAATCGCCGCCGACTCGCCGAAGCGCGCCAGGGAGGACATCGAGCACCGCTTCGGCGAGCTCGAGGCCTCGGGCGTCGGGTCCGCGGAGACGAACCGCGAGGTCGCCGAGCGGCTCGAGCGCGAGGCGCGCGCGGAGATGAACCGCGAGATCGCCGAGCAGCTCGAGCGCGAGATCGCCGCGACGCGCTTGAAAGTGAACGCGTCGCCGGCGAGGCACGCGTCGCTCCTGGCGCCGAAGTTGCTTCCGCCGCCGCCGTCGCCGCGCGAGGGCTGGAGGCTCGAGGCCCTGCGCTCGCCGCCGAAGCCCGACGCCATAGACGAGGCAGTCGACGCCTCGACCCGCGACGAGTGGCTCCTGCGCCTGCTCACGTGCGTCGTCGCCGTCGACGGCGCCGGCGACGCCGAGGCCGTCCGCGGCGGCCGCTTCCTGCTCGCGCTCTACACGCTCGACACACTCAGCTGGGCCGTCGCGAAGATGGCGCTCTACGAGGTGCTGGCCTTCGCGCGGCGCGCGCTCGGCGCGAGGGCGCTCGTGCTCGCGTCGCTCGCGATGACGACCGCGGAGGTCGGCTTCGAATTCGCCGCGGCGGCGCTGACGCCCGCGCTCTTCCGGCGGGCGACGGGCCGCGCCATGGACGCGCGGCGCTGCGCGGCCTTCGCGCTCGACTGCTACGGCGCGTCGAGCGCCGCGGCGGTCGTCGTCTACCCGGCCGTCTACTTCGGAGCGGAGCGCGGCTCGAAGCTTTCGTGGCTGGTCGTCGCCGCGGTCGCGCAGAATATCCAGTACAGCTTCTTGAACCAGGTCGGCGACCAGGCTTGCGGGCTGAGCCGCCCCCACTGGCACCGGACCTTCGCGTCCGTCGCGACGCGCTGGCCGCCGTGGCGCGCGGCGCCGCCCGGGGGCACGCCGCCGGAGCGCCTCGCGGTGCTCCTCACGCTCGCGCGCGTCGTGCTGAGCGCGGCGCTGGCGGCGCTCTACGTGGCCGCGCGCGCGTCCTACGCCGCCGCGCGGCACGCGCTCGTCGTCGGCATCTCCGCGTCCGTCGTCGCGTGCGTCGTCGTCCTCCGGCGCTCGGGCCCGGGCCCCGCGGTGCCCGCCGCGGCCGTCGGCGAAGACGGCGGGTTCGCGCCGAGCCTCGCCCGCCTCGACGGCCTCGACCGGCGGCTCGTGGTCTTTTCCGTCGTCGTCTTCGACCTCCCGGACCAGGCCTTCAACGCGATCGTCGCGCTCTGCGTGGAAATCAAATCTTCAACCCGACTTCAATGTGAGCGTAATTGAGCGATTTGTGCCGGTTTCTTCAACCGTGCTTCGAGAGCTCGACGAGAGCAATCGGTTCGTCCAAAAATCAGCCAAATCGACTTCGATTTGACCGAGCTAGAGAATTTCAAAGTTTGGTCGGGACGTCCCAAACCAGTGGTTGATTTCCACACAGGTCGCGCTCCTCGTGCTGCGGCTGTCGCCCCTCGCGAGCGGCGCGGCCCTCGTCTTCGGTACGCTGGCGGCCGTGGCCTACCTGCACGCAAAACTGCGGCGGACGGCGCGGCCCGCGGGGGGCTACGGCGGCTGGCTCGCGCTCGTCGCCGCGTCCGCGCTCTCGCTCCTCGGCGCCGCGGCGCTCGTCGCCGCCGCGCGCGACCGCGCGCTCTACCTCGCCGTGCCGCCCCTCGTCGTCTACGCGGCGTCGCAGCAGGCGCTCTTCGCCAAGTTCACGGCGTTCCTCTTCGTCCACGACAACGAGCGGTCGTCGCTCGTGAACTTTTACGCGAACGCGGGCTACGCGGCCGTCGCGGGGCCGCTGCTCGCCGTGAACTGGGCGCTCGCGGCGTCGGCGGCGTCGCTGCGCGCGGCGCTGGCGACGCTGCTGCTCGTCGCCGTCGGCGGCTACGCGCTCGCCGCGGCCGGCGTGTGCGGCAGCGCGACGCTCCGCCGCGGCGTCGACGGCGCGCTCGCGGGCTTCAGGCCCCGGCAGGGCGCGCCGCCGCCGCCGCCGCCGGCGACGCCGCGCGAGCCGCCGGAGGCCGCCTTCTCGTCGCGCGACGAGGCCGCGGCCGACTCGGACGTCACGACGCTGAAGATCAACTACATCGACGAGGCCGACGACGACGACGAGGCGGGCCTGCCGCCCTTCCCGGGCTCGGCCGTCGAGGAGGAGGAGGCGCGCCTCGTCGCGACGACGCGCCACGGGTCGTCGTGGATGCTCGACGTCGAGCACGTCGTCGCGGACCTCGACGACCCGGGCGACGACTACGCCGACCTCCAGATCCAGGGCGTCTCCTACGACGACGTCGCCACCTGCTCGACGCACGTCTGCGGGCTCTACTGTTAGTAACGTGCTGTGCTTTTTAGGGGGTCAAGCCACCGCCGCGTCCCCGAGCTCGACGTCGCGGGGCGGCGCCGGCGCCGGCGTCCGCGAGAGCGCCCTCGAAAGCCGCCCTTGCTTCTCCGCGTAACCTTTTTTTCTCGTCAGGCGCCAGACGACGAGCGCCCGCGGCAGTGGCAGGACGAAGCATACACAACACGCGGCCCAGAGGTAAGGCATAATTTCGGCGCGCGTCGCCTTGCCGACGCCGATGTCGGAGCCGTGGTCGACGATGAGCGCCCCGACCATAAGGATAGCGAAGAGCAAAAAATAGAGGATGCTTGCGTCCCTGTCGTCCTCCGTGGGCCGATAGTCGCTCGGGATGCGCCAGAGCCGGTGCTCGCCGACCGTGACAGTCTCTTGGAAGAACAAGAAGATGAAATAGACGACGAGCAATGGCAGGAGGAAGAACGCGCACCCTTCGCAATCCTCGCAGTCCTGGGAATCGCAGCAGTACGCCGGCGCCTCGTTCTCGTCCTTGCGCTCATCGGCGTCCGTCTCGTCCACGGCCGTCTCGGACATCGTCTCGAGGTCTGGGCAGCCCTCGAGTTGTTTGAGTTCAAGTGCCTTTTTTTTTGTATTTGGTTACCCGCCGCGATGTGATGAGTTCCAGCGTCGCGATGACGATGAGATAACACGCCATGGACGTGCAGCAGCCCGCGCTCGAAGACGGGCTGGCGGCGGCGGCCGTCCGGAAGCAGCAGACCGACGTGCGGCCGCAACTCGCCGAGGCGACGTGGCTCGCGGCTTTGCTGCATCCGACCAAGAACCCGCGCCGCGACCTCTTCGGCCGCATGCGCTGGTTCAAGTGCTTCAAGGGCCCGGACCACGAGTGGGTCGACGAGCCCGTCGCCGTGCTGCGGCGCGGCCCGGCGCGGGCCTGCCCCTGCTGCGCCGGGCTCCAGGTCTCGCGGACGAACTGCGTGGCGACGCTCTGCCCCGAGGTCGCGCGGGAGTGGCGCCTCGCGAAGAGGAACGGGCCCGCCGTGCCCGGCCCGGACAAGGTCATGGCGACGTCCCAGGCCGCCGTCTGGCTCCGCTGCCGCAATGCGCCGGCCCACGGCGAGTACCGCGCCGTCGTCGCCGCCGTCGTCCGGACCAAGGGGGGCTGCCCCGAGTGCGCGGGCACGGTCGTCACGAAGCGCAACTCGCTCAAGGCGACGCTCGGCCCCGCGGCGACGACGCTCATCGACGTGTCGCAGGTGCCGCGGCTGAAGCCCGCGCAGATTCTGGGCACCGCGGCCGGGGCCGAGGTCGCGTGCCGCGACCCGACGACGGGCTACGCGTGGCGCGCGACGCCGCGCGCGCTCACGGAGGCCGCGAACCAGACGCCGAAGACGCCCGACGCGCCGCCGGCGGACCCCATGGAGAAGATTTTGGACGCGTTCGTGCCCCGCGCGCTCCGCGCGCGCGCGGCCGGCATGGTCAAGCAGGCGTCGACGCTCGCCTTCCCGAAGGTCGTCGACGGCCTCGTCGACGACGCCGTCGCGGCCCTCGCTCGGACCCTCGTGGACGAGGCGAAGGCGGGGAAGAAGGTCGCCAACGCGCCGCCGCCGCCGCCGAAGAAGTCGCCGCGGACGCCGCGGCGCATCCCGGGCCTCTCCGCGCGGCCGAGGCCGCCGCCGCGGAAAAAGGACCCGGAGGCCGCGGCCATGCGCGCGGCGGCCGTCGCCCGCACGCGCGACGCCAACGCCGCCGCGCGCGCCGCGGACGCCGCGGCCGCGCGCCTCGCCGTCGCCGCGGCGGCCGCCGCGCTCGCCGCGCGCGCGACGCCGCCCGAGCCGCCGCCCGCGGCGCCGAAAGCGCCCAAGCCGCCGCCGCCCGCGGCGCCGCCGCCGAAGAAGAAGAAGTCGAAGGCGTGCGCCCTAATGTGATTACTGGATCCCGAGGAAGATGCGCGACCCCGCGGACAGCTTGCGGGACCGGTCGCCCTTCGGCGACAGGGCCGCGGCGTCCGCGAGGACGCCCTGGGCGTCGTAGGCCTCCTCGCGGAGGCCGCCGGGCAGGGACGCCAGCTCCGCGTCGCTCAGGAGGCCGTCGCCGTCGCCGTCCGCGGCGCGCAGCGCGCCCAGGAGCGTCTCGGCCCGCGGCACGGGCTGGTCCTCCAGCAGGGCCTCGACGCCGCTCCGCGCCGCCTTGAGCGCGAGCGTCGCCTCCTCGCGCTGGCCCTTCTGCGACAGCGCGAGCTCCGCCCTTTCCAGCTTCGCGACGACCCGGTCCGCCGTCCGCAGCACGCGCAGCTCGTTCTTCGCGCGCTCGGAGACGTCGTCGATGGCCTCGCCGTAGCGCTGCGTGTTCTGCGCGACCACGGTGCGGAAGAGCTCGCGCGACTGGATGAGCGTGAGGATGCGCCGCCGCGCGGCGGGCACGTCGTCGCGCTCGTCGAGGTCCCGCTGCGCGTCGACGATGGACGCGCGGAGCTCCACGAGCGGGAGCAGGGCACCGATGGGCATTTGCGCGGGCGCCGCGTGTGTCGCGCGAGGCGCGAGCGCCGCCGCGGGGATGAGCGCTGCGACGCTGCGCCGCGAGAGCCAGGGTGCAAGCGCCTTGCGCCGCGGCGGCTCGACTGATGTGTGCGCGGTATACTGATGCACAGGCTTGTTCTCAAATATTGTAAGGCTGCTTGTGGGCTGCGCGAGTGTAAGAACGACCACGAGAGCCCTCATAATCGAGCTTCAACCACTGCTCCTTGCCGTCAATCGCTGAATATCTGAATCTCCACAAGACACTTGCCGCGCCTTGGGCAGCCACCGCTGGCCGCGCCGCACGCAGGACACAGGCGCTTGGGCAGCCACCGCTGGCCGCGCCGCACGCACGACACCGGGAACCATGCCCAAGTCCATCCAGTGCCTCACGTGCGGCCCGGACCCGTCGCGGCGCAAGGCCGGCAACACCTTCGCGCTCGCCTTCAACGACAGCGACAGCGAGAGCAGCGACGACGACGCCGCGCCGCAAAACGACGCGCCTCCCAGCGACGACGGCGCCGCGCCGCCGACGCTCCTGTCGCTGCCGTCGGAGTGCCTCGCGCGCGTCGTCGCGTTCGAGACGAGCGACCTCGCTTCCATGCGGCGCCACGCGCGCGTGTGCCGCGCGCAGCGCGAGGCGCTCTCGCCGGCGTCGGAGGTCTGGCTCGGCCTCGCGAGCTGCCACTTCCGCGCGTCCGCCGCCGAGGCGCGGGCCTGGGGCGACGGCGCGGCGCGCGCGCTCTACGAGGACCTCGCCGCGTGGACGCCGCGACAGGGCGTCTACACGCTCGCGGGCGGCTTCCCCTGGGGCGGCCTGGTCGTCGTCCGCATCCGCGACGGCTTCGTGCGCGGCGAGATCATCCGCTGGCTGCCGCGCGCGGGCAGCTGGGAGTACGCGGGCCCCTTCGACCGGACGCGCGCGGGCTTCCGCGAGACGGGCACGGTCTTCTTCGAGGGGAGATTGGGCGCGAAGGACGTGAACGCCGTCGGCGGCTGGCTCGAGCCCGAGGAGCTGCGCGTGGACGCGCTCGAGCCGGAGGCGATGCTCATCCGGCTGAACCACGCGGCGCACCTCTTCGACGTCAAACCGGGAGCGACGCTCTTCGACTGCCCGCGCGCGCTCCGGCTGTCGAGCGAGGCTTTATCGGAGGTGCCTACCGTCTACCGCGACGTCCTGGTCGAGGACTCGGACGTCTTCTGGGCGCCGGATCCAAGGGTGACCTCGATCCTCGACGGTCCTTTAAAGACGAACGACGGCCGCGCGCGCGGGCTCGCCGCGGAGCTCTTCTACAAGTGCGAGTGCTGCGACCTGGCGCTCGTGCGCCCGCCGACCAAGCGCGCCCTCGACACGGGCGGCCTCGAGAGCCTGCGGCCGGGGCTCTACGTTGGCGACTACCAGCGTCCTGCGGCGATTTTCGAGAGATTTGGGGTGGGAAAACAATGAGAAATTGTCACCGTCGCGCTTGGTAGGCGACTACGGCGCGCGCTACGGGCGGTTCCGCACGGAGGTCGTGCTCCTCGAGAGCGTCGTGCTGGACATCGGCGCGGCGCTGCGGGATTTGGACGACGACGTCGAGCCGGCGGAGCGGAAGCTCTTCAACCGGCCCAGGTGGTGCGTGTCAGACGACGCCTCGGACCTGGCGCTCAGCCGCGAGGCCTGGGGCGACGCGCTCGCGGATTTGGCGGGGTCGACCTTCGACACGCCCCTGACCTTCGTCAAGGCGACCAAGGTCTGCGGCGACATCTACGTGCCCATGGGCGCCGTGACGTTCGTCGCGCTCGTCGACCCGCCCGAGGCCGTCGACGCGCTCCGGCGGACCGTCGGCGCGGCGCACCCGCGCGTCGTCGACCGCCAGACGGGCGCGCACGAGGACGTCGTGCGCCACTGGCCGGGGCTGGGCGCGCTGGCCTTCCTCGGCTTCCACCACTTCTCCTGGAGCCCGGGCAACCTCGTCCGCCTCGGCGACGCGCCCGACGGCTCCCACAAGTTCGGCTTCGCCTGGGAGCGGGACCAGGACGCCATCGTGCTCCACTGGATCGCCGCCCAGGAGGCGGCGGAGTACCTCGAGCGGAGGTAATGGTTTATTTGTCATCCGATCGATTGATAACTTCAGTTGATGTTCAAGGCTGCAGTCCGGATCCGCGGAGTCGAGGCATCATGATGGAGAGCAGGCAATCGAAGCCGACGCGCCGGCCATCGAAGCCGATGCGCCGGCTAACGATGGCGTGCCTGCTATTGGTCGCAACGACCGATGCCTTCGTGCCGTCGTGGAAGCTGCTCGCGCCGTCGCGCACGCCCGCGCCACGCGCTGAGGCCGCGACGACGGACGACGCGCCGAAGAAGCGCGTGCTCGTGCCCATCGCCGACGGCAGCGAGGAGATCGGACATAACGACCCGAACTCCACTCGGTCGGACGCCCGCGCGCGCCGCCGCCGCGCACTCGCGTGCCGCCACGTGGCCTCGCGCTCCACGACGCGGTCAAACACGCGCTCGACATTCACACCGAGCGACGCCTCCCTCGTCGTGCCCCGACCGCCCGCCGCTCCGCAGGCCCCTCGGCGAGCGCGGCCGTGCGATGTCCGATCTCGGCCATCGTCTACGAGCGCGACTTCGAGTACGACTATTTCGGGTTCAAGACGCTCGAGCGGAGCTACCTCATGCGCCTCGACGGTGCGATCGCGGAGCGGCCTCAGCACATGATCATGCGCGTCGCGCTGGGCATCCACGGCGATGACCTGGCGGCCGCGCTGGAGACCTATGAGATGATGTCGCAGAAGATGTTCACGCACGCGACGCCGACGCTCTTCGGACACACCGAGCGACGCCTCCCTCGTCGTGCCCCGACCGCCCGCCGCTCCGCAGGCCCCTCGGCGAGCGCGGCCGTGCGATGTCCGCGGACGACGACATGCAGGTCGTGAAGCGCAACGGCAAGAAGGAGACCGTGCGCTACGACAAGATCACGAGCCGCATTCAGAAGCTCTGCTACGGCCTCGACGCCAAGTACATCAAGCCGAACCAGATCACGCAGAAGGTGATCCAGGGCGTCTACGACGGCGTGACGACGCACGAGCTCGACGAGCTCGCGGCGCAGACGACGGCCTACATGGCGACGCAGCACCCCGACTTCTCCGTGCTCGCCGCGCGCATCTCCGTGTCGAACCTGCACAAGTCGACGGACAACACGTTCTCCGACGTCGTCGAGAAGCTCCACAAGCACATGCACCCCAAGACGAAGAAGCCCGCGGCGCTGATTTCCGACGAGACTTACGCCACGGTGCAGAAGCACAAGGACGCGATCAACGCGGCCATCGTCTACGAGCGCGACTTCGAGTACGACTATTTCGGGTTCAAGACGCTCGAGCGGAGCTACCTCATGCGCCTCGACGGTGCGATCGCGGAGCGGCCTCAGCACATGATCATGCGCGTCGCGCTGGGCATCCACGGCGATGACCTGGCGGCCGCGCTGGAGACCTATGAGATGATGTCGCAGAAGATGTTCACGCACGCGACGCCGACGCTCTTCAACGCCGGCACGCCGCGGCCGCAGCTGTCGTCGTGCTTCCTGTTGGCCATGAAGGAGGACTCCATCGAGGGCATCTACGACACGCTCTACAACGAATCATCGCCATTGCGCGTTTGAGGAGAGCCTCGAAGTGATCCAGATGATCTAAAAAACCCGCGCGTAAACCGGCCCGCCCCCTAGACCGCGCGCGGGCTGCCCGCGGCGCGCTGGGCCGCCTGGGCCGTCATGCGGCCCAGGCTCAGCCGGCCGAAGTTGAACTCACAAGTGCGTCGTCCTCGGAAGCAGCAACGTGGATAATAATAAAATAAAGTGCTCGAACCGTACTTGAAGTCATATTGCAGCCCCGGACCGTCCTTACCGAAACCCCGCGGCCGCGCCGCGGTTGAGGCCGTCCAGGGCTGCTTCCGCGGCGGCGGCGCCGACCAGAATCGCGCGCGCGTTGTGGCGATTCGGCGAGCGGCAACTCCCCCGACGAGGCCCCCGCAGTTCAGGGTCACGGCCCGGGCGGCCCCGACGAGGCTCAGCAGGGCGAAGGTCCGCATGGCCGTCCCCCCCCCCCGTCGCGAGACGTCGGGGAGCAGCAGCAGCCGAGATCCCGCGGGGCTGCCCTGAAAAAAAAAAGGATACAATGCGTAGATGTTGCGGTGCACAGTGTGTGCATATTAGACTGCAGTCGGCCACGGCCACTTCCAGTACCATCGCGAGGTCGCAGTGCCTCGAAGCGAAAGAGAGTACACCAAGCTTGATTCTACAGCTTCGCTAGGTTAAGGTTTTCCTGGTCCAAGTTGCAGCATGCCCGGATAGTGGTCTGTATTCGGCTGCCGGAAGAATGCAATCGATGGGCAAGGCAAAGCCAGTTCGTGCGTCGCGTGCGAAGCCTTGCCTGCCGGTCGACATGACCGGCTGGGAGGGCCGTCACGCGAGGCGCCAACGCAATGCGTTGCGGCGCGTCGGTGGCGGCTGGGGCAACGTCGGTGGCGGTGCCAATGGAGGCGGCGGCTGGGGCAACGTCGGCGGCGGCGGCGACGCCGACGGCAGCGGCTGGGGCAACGTCGGCAGCGGCGCCGACGGCGGCGGCGGCTGGGGCAATTCCTCGCCGGGCTGGCCGAACGGCTGGGGAACGGCGCCGCCCGCGTCGGGCTGGGGGTCGGCGACGCAGTCGTTAGGTGGGGTCTGGGGGTCGGCGCCGTCGTCGTCTGTTGGCTGGGGCGCGGCGCCGCCGACGTCGACGCCGGTCCCGCCGACGCTTCGTCACGCGGGAGCGGCCGCGGACGAGGGCGAGGCGAACCCGCTCATCATCGTCGCCTGCGTTGGCGCGACGATCGCACTCCTCGCGCTCCTCCTGAGCGCCTGAGTAAAAGAGGCATCCCCTTACCGCCGCCTTTCTTCGCGCGCCGCTTTTTGGACGCCGCCGGGGCGAGGGGCCCGAGGTCCGCGAAGTGGAGCGCGTCGCCAAAGTCCGCGGGCGACGACGCGGGCGCGCACTTGAGCGCCGAAAGGTGGCCGCGCTCCGCCCCGGCGGCCGTCGCGCAGGCAGCGGAGCAGTAGGCGACGTCGCACGTGAGGCGGCAGCGCCGCACGGGCCCGCGCGCGCCGCAGGCGTCGCAGGCGTCGGGCGGCGCGACGGACGCCGCTGCCGCGCCGCCCCGCCGCGTCCAGATCGTCAGCTCCGCGGAGCCGTCGCCGTAGTTGGGCAGCGCGACGCGCGCCGGTAGCGCGAAGCGCGCCTGGAGCGCGAGGAGGTCGCCGGCCGTCGCCGTGTCGCCGCGCCATTCGCCGACGAGCGCAACGTCTCGCTGCCGCCGTCGTGTTAATGGCCAGCGAAAGCAAAGGCTGTGACGAACTCGATGAGCTCGGAAGGAAGCGTGGCGCGGAAGCAGTCGAGCATGTAGGCGCGGATGTGACCGTGAATCAGCCACGCTACGTCTTTGTGGCCGCGCTCGCGCGCGATCTGCAGCGGCGTCGAGCCGCCCGACGTCGCCGAATTGAAATTGGCGCTGCGGGCCAGGAGCAGCTCCGCGACGGCGACGTGCCCGTTGTGGCTCGCGATATGCAGCGGGGTCCAGCCGTCCTGCCTCGCCTTGTCGACGTGCCGCTCTGCTTCGCCTTGTCGACGTCGGCGCTGCAATCGAGAAGCAGCGCGGCGATGGCGGCGTGGCCTTGTTGGCTCGCGACAAACAACGCCGTCGCGCCGTCCTCCTGGGCCTTGTCGACGTCGGCGCCGCGATCGAGGAGTAGCTTGACGAGGGCGGCGTGCCCGTTCTGGCTCGCCATGTACAGCGGCGTCGTGCCGCTCTGCTTCGCCTTGTCGACGTCCGCACCGCGGGCGAGGAGCAGCTCCGCGACGGTCGCGTGGCCTTGCTCGCTCGCGAGGAGCAGCGAGGTCCAGCCATCCTTGTCCGCCTTGTCGACGTCCGCGCCGCGATCGAGGAGCAGCGCGGCGAGGGCAGCGCGGCCTTCCTGACTCGCGACGTACAGCGGCGTACGGCCGTCCCGGTCCGTCTCGTTGATGTCAGCGCCGACATCGAGGAGATGCCCGATATCCTCGACGTGACCTCCTGCGAGTGCCGAGAACATGGAGGCCACCATTCGAACACACCATGCGAGCCAGGTCGCAGGCCCGCGGGCCGGCACCCGTCGACCTCGAAGAAGCCGTAGCGCCGCAGGTCGCCGTGGATCGTGTCGAGGAGCGGGATGCAGTGGAAGATCTCCCAGCCGCGCCCGTGCACGTAACGGGACGCGCCGCGCTCTTCGCGACATGCATGTCGTCGTCCGCTGACATCGAGCGCGCTGAGGGCCCTTCGCTGCCCGCCGCTTGTCCGAGATCCACTACGAAACTAGGGCTGCTGCACCGTGACGGGCAGGAGGCCGCACGCGGGCGAGTCGTCGACGGCCCGCTCCGTCAGCGACGCGTCTGCGACCGAGACGCACCGCACGCACCGCGACGTCGACGATGCGACGCAGGCGCCCACTGCCTCCGGCGGTCCCTGCGGGAGGCTCTGCCGGCGGGCCGGCGACCCGCCTCCGGCGCCCTCGCGGGGCGGCCCTCACCGGGCGGGATTTATAATCTAGAGTGTCCGGTAGGAAGCAATGCCGAGCAGGCTTCACTGCTTTGGCTTTTTTTTTCTTAGACACGCCGATCCGGCGCTGGGGCTGCCGTCGTCCACGGCCCCGTCCGGAACCATCGCGCTGTTGCAGTGCTTCGAAGCGAAAGAGAGTACACCAAGCTTGTTTCTACGATTTCGCTAGGTAGAGGTTTTCTTGGTCCAAGTTGCAGCATGTTTTAATGTTCGGATAGTAGCCTGAATTCGGCTGCCAAAAGAATGCAAAGACTGGACGACGCCGCGCGATGCAATGCGTGCCCTGGGTGCGTGCGCGCTGCAGCTGTGCGCCGGGGGTCCAGCTTCGGCTGCGGTAAGTGCCTATATTGCTACAAGAAACGCTACGTCGCCGCGACGCTGGATTCGTGTGCGCTCTCGTACTGCACCGGCGCGGGCCAGGGCGCGCGCGGAGCTGCCATCGTCGGCCTCGGCGCCGGCTGGACGCTTTACCACATCCCGCGCAAAGACGAGGGCCGTCCCCAAACCTACTGGCTCTCGCCCGACGGCGCGCGCTTCCGGTCGCGAACCGAGCTTCTCGTATTTTTGCACGCGACGGGCCAGCAAGTGAACGGCTGGGACTGGAACCGGCCGGCGTGCACGCCCGTGCCGTCGGGCAAGGCCGGCACGCCGTCGCCCGAGATGCTCGCGGCGGCGAAACGCGTCTACGAGAGCTGGTTCGTGGACGAGAGCCACCATACGATCATTACCGCGCTGTCGACCGCAGATGCAGCCTTCGAGACTATGATGGCCGCGGACCCGACGGACCCGAGATGAGAACGCGAGCCGCGAACCGACGGCTCCGAGACGCCCACCACGACGCGCGAACACGCGCCCCGCGCGAGTTGCACACGCCAGACGCTCCTAAAGCGCTCGCAGCTTAATCGTGAAGCTCACTCCGCTAGGAACCGGCGCTCTGGAATCGCTCCTGCGACTCGAGCCGTGGTGACTCGGCAGATCTAGAAGTCACCCTTATTTGTGGTTTATGATCACGCGCCTATCTTGACGCCGTCTTTCGTCCAGGTGCCGTCGTTCCGTAGCTTCCGACGGCGGGATGGCTCCTTGTAGGAGGCCACGCATGCCGCGGTGCGGCCCGGGTAGCGGACGCTGTCGTCGAAGAGGACGTCGACGCGCGTGCCCGGCGGCGGCGCGGCGCCCGCGCGCTTCCGCTTCTTCAGCGCGGGCTTCGGTTTGCCCTGCTTCGCCGCGCGCTCGCTGCGGCAGGAGGCCGCAGTCTTCGTGTCGCACTTGGCCGCGAGGCGCGCAGGCGTGCCGACGCCGCGCGTCGCGTGGTCCGCGGCCGTCGCCTGTACGTAGACGCGATGCTTCGACGCCGCGAGCACGAGCGCGAGCCCCGCCTGCTCGAGCGCCTTGTCCGCGGCGGTATAGTTCGTCTTTGGCGGGCCGTCACGTTCGAGGTAGACCGCGCGCACGTCGTCGAGCAGGTCCGGGAAGTCCTCGATGATGCTCGGGAACGCGCCCTCGCAGTCCACGACGAGCGCCGTGAAGGGCTTTGACACCTTGGAGCGGAGCTGCTTCGGGTTTAGAGACGCGACGCGCACGGACCTCGTGTTTTTGCTGGACGACGTCATGTTGAACATCCACTGGCGCTGGTTGCGGGAGTCGGGTCCGTCGAGCGCGGCCGTCGCGCAGGAGAAGACGGCGCCCTTGGCCAGCGCGCCGCGCGCGACGTGGTAGCCCGACGTGTGAAGAGCCTTGTTGCGCTCGAGC